AAAAAAGTTATATATAAAAAATTTTAAATAATAACAGTTCCTATTAACAACACCCAATTCCCATCCTATAGAAATACATTAAAAACATTCTCCATTTACACAAGTTGTACATCATTTTTAACATTTTAATTTACAACTTGCACATTGTTAGTCCATAAAATAATCACCAATATCACATTATTCATTATGGGACACAATCCCATCTCCAGAGATACTATAACAAGAGTTTTTTTGTTTATCTAAGTAATAGCCAATTTAACATTTAGTACACATATAATTTTAACAGATCTCACAAAACTCATTACATCCAAAATGAATCTAAATATAATCATCACATTTTTCATCATTTGATAAATATTCGTCTATACATAATTATATGCATTAATTATGAATTAGATCTAATTAATTTGTTTCTGTATGACACTTTAGACATTAACCTTGATAACAATACTCACATTCTCTAGGATAATCAAATTATCCATTAAAACATCCATCTTCTGCTATTAAATTCATATCATCACATTGCTCATATCCTGTCCTATGACCATCATTCAAAATTTCAAGGCATTTACCAGCTATACTTTAATATCCATCCATACATTTGATACATTTTCCTTATTAGCATACCATACATTATTTTTAACATTAGTATTTGGAAAGGTAACAACCATCATTCATTATTGAATTTCATCACACTATTCATCACCAACAATTTAAGAATTTCCGAAAAATGGGTGACATCGTTTATCTAATGTGATAATCCATCCTTTTTTGCATTATAAACAATCCCCTTTGTCATAAATTAAGCAAGAATCTTAACAATTTTATTTACACTAAAAACAATTTTTATCTATTAAATCATCACATTCTTCATAATATTATACAATAATTCCATCACCACAAATAGTTTCACATCTGTTTTTTAACTAATCTAATATCCATCCTTCAATATTACATTCTAAGCGTCCATCTGAAGTGCATAAAGTACATGATTGTTAACAATGGAATTAGCATTAGTAGCATTCATCTTCTAGTTGATTATTTCCATCTTCACACATATTTTCTTAATTTACCAATTCATTATTTCCACAAACTTTAACACATTATTATAATAAGAAATCCCATTTATAACCTAAAATACAATTAATCCAATATCCATTATAACATTATAAACAATTGATATCACAGGTGATTTAACATTTTTTGCAAAGACTTTAATCAAAATTATCATCACATTCTTCATTTCCAAGAACTAATATATTGTCTCCACAAATACTCTTACAAGATCCATCCGATTACAAATATCTACCATCCATTTAATTTTTTGTATTAGTAACAATTACCATATTAGCAATCTATACAATGTTTTGACATTAAAATTAACAATTGAAACAACAATTAGAAGGGGTTAGATTTCCATCTTCACTTAATTCAGGAAATGGTAAGAACCCCCATCATTGCATTATGGAATACATATATTTTATATTAATTTTTAGCCTTTTAACAAATAATACACAAAGAATTATGGCAGGTATGACAAAATTAATCACTCAATTAGTAAATCATCTCTTCATTAAACTATAACTTTCTAATAAAATCATATCCATTACAATTTTCATAAATTAAATCTGTATTTTCGGATAAAATTCATCTTTTTAAAAATCAAAGGAAAATATCTTAAATTAGATAAAGGAATGCTTTCATTTTCGAATAAAGTAAACTTTGATTTAATTCTTGTATCAATCACACATATTTTATCATATCTATATTAAAGTTATTGAATTTTCATTTAAAGATGAAATTATAGTATAATGGTGAAAATATTACTTTTTTATTAATAGGTTAAAAAAGTGATATAGATTATATTTCCCATTTATTATTAGTATGTTTCCAAAAAAACATGTTTTATTATTCGTCTATTGAAATAATTTTAGTATTTTCATTAAATAATTTTATTTTTGTGACCGTCCAATAAATCATTTTGACCTTTTGATAATTAATAAAATAAATATTATTTTCAAACCCTTAAATAATGTATTCTTCATTATGAGTAAAACATGATAATTCCAATTTCTCTTAAGGTGGCTGTAATTAAATGTTCTAGATTCCAATATTATCTAAATTCCAAAACTAAATTTTATGTCCTATTTTATTATACTCAAAATATGATGACTTAGATACAAATATTTTCCCTTTTGGTGAAAATTATACCAATTTTATTGGGAAAAAGGCTTCTTTAAGTACATATAATATTTTCGTATTAATGGGATTTCTTAGATTCCAAAAGATAATTGTACAATCTTCGCTTCCTGATATAAGCCACTTTGAACAATATGAAAAATCCAAACAATTAACATCACTAATATGTCCTTCTAAACTCATTAGATATTTTATATCTAATAAATCCCAAAATATTATATTAAACTCTTGACTTCCAGAAGCTAAAATTAAATTATCTTTTGATATTGCTAATAAATTTATACCTTTAAATGTCCTTGCTTTAAATCTAATTATTCATTAGCTTTTATATTCCATAATTTAATTAATTTATCATCACTAGAAGATGCAAGTGTTAAACCATCTGGAGAGAAACTTAGTGAATTTATTTTACCTTAATGTCCTTCAAATATTCCAATATTTCTCTTTGCTTCAATATTCCATTAATAGATCTTTTTATCTTTTCCACAAGAAACTAATAAATTTTATTTAAGATGATAAGCTAAATGTGTACTTTCTTGAGGATAACAAATTATTATTTATTTTTTTATTTATTAATCTAAATTTATTAAATAAATAGAATCTTTATCAGCAACACAGATTTAATTGTTACTTATATAAGCCATGCAACTTATTTTTCGGTATAATTCTAAGGATTGAATAAATTACAATTAATTTATATCAAATTTTCTCAATTATTTCTCACTTATTACAAATATATATTTTCATCTCTAGATATTACAATCTAGTTTATTTGATTACAATTTATTTGAGCAATTTATTATCTAATGATTAAATTAATTATCAAAAGCTCACCTGATCAAGCATTTCTGATAGAAAAGAGTTACTCTATGAAATTTGTGCAAGTATGATTGATTCAAAAAAACCCCGTCCAATCTATTTTTAATTCAATTTTATTATTAATTACATATAGAATTAGTTATTTGTCAGTCGCCTCAATCAAAATTTCTCCATTTTTATTAAACAAAAGATTTTTTCGATTTGAATATGAATTTTTTTTTGATATCTGAGTATGGGTTATTTTTCTCCCTTTAATATCAATTATGCAAATTTCATCATCATATTTTTTTACTGCTAATAACTTTAAGTCTTTGGAAATGGATATATCTTATGAACTTCCAATATCCAAAACATCTTCCATATTGATCCCTTTTAATTTCATAAATATTTCTTCATTTCTTAGAGATAATATTATGGGATTATTATAATACCAAATAAAACATTATTAATTTTACTCAAATATTTCTAATTTTTTAATTTCATCTAAATTTTAATAAAATAATATATCTTTTTATGCTTTAAATTATTTAATTACAAACCTTCTAGAAGTGGGGTTGAAACAAAAATAATCTTTTTTAAGTGAAAAGATACTTAAAAAATAATACTCTTATTTTGAATATAATCCACATAATTTGATATCTTTAATATTTTCTAAATTCCAAATGGTTATTTAATTTCCAACTAATACTAATATTTAATCATTATCCATAAGATATAATATGCTCTCACCTGTATAGGTCTTAAAAGTAACTATTTTTTAACAAGAATGAACATTCCAAATGGTTAAATCTCCATATCTATTCAAGGAAATTAATTGATTCGCATTAGTAAAAAATATTATTCTTTAAATATCAAAATCTTCAACTAAAGTTTGATATAACTTCCATTTTTTAACAAAATATATTTATATTTTATAAGATTGAATAATTGCAGAAAGCTACAATAAATTTTACAATTAGAACTTAGAACTTAGAATTTAGAGTAATTTAATATTAAGTAGAATAATCTTTAGAAAATGAACTTGATTGTGATGTTGAATTATTTGAATTAATCTGAGTTACCATTTCCAGATTTATAAATTACTGAGGAAGTATGAAAATTTATGTATTCAATTAACAAATTAAGTGATTATTATTACTAATGAAATTCAAATTATGAATTTCAGATGCAAATTTTTGACACCCTACCATTTCAATTTCTATTTTTGAACAATCCCATAAACAAATTATCTCATCTCCAGCCCAAGCCATAAAATTTCCATTTTTTGAAAAACAAATTTATGAAAAATTATCACCAGTCCAATTTATTTAATATTCTACATTTCCTTCAATTACATTCCAAAAAATTACTCATTAATCACAATTACAAGAGATCAATCTCATTTTATTAGGAAAGTACTTGACTATTTTTACTTAATTAGTATCTTCTTTTAAAAAAATTACTTCCTTCATTAAGGATAAATTCCAGATTATTAGTTTATTATTTTAAAGATTATCTATAAAAGCAATATATTAATTGTTTATTGATATAGTTATCTCTTTTTCTATTCTATATTTTTCATCAATTTTATGCTTTAGATTACCATCTAATGAGTTCCATATATATATTGCTGAAGTTGAATCTAAGATAATCAATAATGATCCATTATAAGAATACTTAAAATCCTTCAATTAATGTTATGAAAAAGAAGATACTAATTCTTAAATTAAATATGGTTAATTGTCTAAATTCCATAAAATAATTTTTTTACTCTCATGTACTGATGCTAAAATATTTACTGAAGGAGAAAAAACGAAACTTATGAATTTATCTTAATCTAATTTTAAAATATTTAATTGTTCTCTTTTATTTATATCAAAAAGAATTACCTCATCATCACAAAATTTATAAGCTAAAATTTCATTATTTAAATTTATTCTAAAATCATATCTATAACAATGTGTGTCCAATAATAGATCTGCTCTAAAATTACTTGCCTAAGTAATTCTTTTAATGTTAAAAACTCTTGCATCCTTGTCATTCTAATGAACACCATATTCAAAATTTTAAGATAGCTGTCAATTGTCTTAACTAATCTAATAGTCTTCTAAACTAGTCAATTACTGTAATGTTTATAAACTCCAGATTATTAGTTTATTATATCCTTATATAGATATTTTTAAAGAATCACTTGATATTTATAATGTTTTAACTGTAAATTCACATTGAATGCTATTTATTATTTGTAATGTATTTAAATCTAGAATTGCTATATAATCATCTTATACTATTATACAAATATCATCAAACTATGAAAGATAAACAATTGAACATTAATCAATTGAAATTTCTTCAAATGTTTGTAATTTTTCCAACTTGATAAAGCTAAGCTATTTTAGCTGTTTGCTATTATCTATTTATCATTTTAAATAAATGCTAACTGGTAGATTTTAAATTAATTCAATAAAAGCACTTGAATTAACTTAAAGGAACACAAATCCCATAATAATAAATTATTGTTTGAACATGCAGAAGCTAAAATGTTTCCTTCAGAAGTGAATGCTAATGCTGTTATATTTCCTATATGACCAATTAATTTCTAATCATTTTTTGTTATAAGATTGATTATTAAAATAGCTGAATCATTTTTACCAATCGCTATTTTTGATTCATCCTAAAAGTAAGCATATATTTTTGGATCATCCTTTTATCCCTGAATATTTATTGTTTCCCAGTTTTAAAAAAGATTTGCCATGTTCCAAATTTTAAAATTATAATCATTTCTAGAAATCAACAATTTATTATCTTTCGAAAGTACAATTTGTTTAACAGTATCATTATTTTATACTGTCACTTTTAATTATGACTATTTTGGGTTACTTATATCCCATAAATTGATTTAAATTGATTGGAGTATCATCACTGGAAGAAATAAGTTTAGTATTATTTGAAGTAAATTAAATAGAATTAATATTATCTTTATGACCTACTAATTATTTCATCTACTCATAATTATAGGCATTCCAAAGAATCAATTATTTATCTACGCCACCAGAAGCAATCAAACTACCATGATTGATGTCCCTTTAAACCAGGTTTTTCTTTGGAAATTATTTCTTTCCAATCTACTCCAGTCAGATCAGCATAATTAAAATTGCATGAATTTATTTTTACTTTGTCAGACTTAGTCTTACTTAAATCACAATTCAAAAAACTTAACCCTGAAATACTAGTGTTTGCTAATTAAATTAAATTAAAATCTTATGATTCTAACTAAGCATTTAATTGACTTAAAAAATAAATACTATTTGATCCAGCATATATATATTATTCATCTCTAGAAAGTTTAACTATATTAATTAATATATTATTTATGCCTTCAATAATTTACAATTTATCTTTAACAAAATTTGATATTCCTTTTTAATTTTCTTTTGAGATGTTTAATTTAATTTGGTTGTATAAAGAACCAATTAAAATTTATTTCTCTTTTTCTATTTTTTAAAATGATTCAAGTGAAATTTCACAATCAAAAAAGAGAAGTAATACCAAAATATACTTTGCAGCATAAAATTCTTAAATTGATTTATGATTAAATCAATAAGTACTTCCTTTTGCTTACAAGAATAAAACTTCTAATTAATTTGGCCAATCATCAACATTTTAAAAAATACTAAACTTGCTCTCTAATTCTAATTTTCCTTTTTATTTATAATTTACTTAAGATAAATCTCTAATAGTCATATCTAGAGCTAAAGATTGTGAAAATTAGTAAATATCTTATTCAAAACTTCTTAGTTCGGAATTTTACTTTTCTCCCTTTGCTGTTGTATTTATTAATAATGATAGAATTTTATGAAACTTTCATAAAATTCAAAAACTGTTAGTTTTTACATTTTTATAACAATCCCAATATCATCCATATCAAAATCAAATTATATGTCATCTACATAAATTGAATTATTTTTAGAAATTAAAACACTGGTTATTGAATAAAATGAAAAAAAGTTCTTCCTATCTAATTAATCAATATTTTCATTCATTTTAAGTATATCTTTTTCAAGATTATCTACTTGAATTTTTCTTAATAATTTTAATCTAATTGTTAAACGTCATCATAATCTAACTTTGACTAACTTTAATTTTTTTCTGTTTGATTTAACAAATCTTAATTCTAAGTATCTATGTTTCTTAATTATTATGATAATTTCTATTTCTTAATTATTTTTATATAGTTTTAAATAAATAAATTCTTTGTTTCTATTGATCCTTTATACGATTATGTCATATTTGGCAAAACTTATACTATTATTTCTAACATGAATGGTGTAGTTAAAAGATCTAAAATACCAACATTTTTTATAGCCTTTTCAAATTTATTTACGCTCCATAATGGTTCTAAATCCTTTCTTAAAGCACTAATATGTTCATTTTTTTAAACATTTTAAAGTGTTATGAGATGTAACTTTTTGCAGTAAACTTTCTAAATCTTATTTTCTAAAAATTACATCATGTGTTTTTATATCGTCTTCTGATGCAGATTTTACTTATTTCTCAATAAGATGCCAAATTTCTTAAAACTCTTTTAGATCAAAAGTTGAATTTTACACTTACTTTACAAATTCATAGATTTGTTTTATCTTTCTTCTTACGCTTAATTCAACATATTTTCTTAAGTACTCTTTTATTTAATCTTAATCAAAATTTTATAATTAAACTTCTTTCAAACTTTCAAGACTCTCTCCATAAAACCATGTTTAATATCCAAAAATATTCAGTATCTCTTTTCTTGTTGTGATGATTACTTTAAGTTATCTTTATGATTGATCATTATTTAGATCTGAGATAAGTTTATTAGTCAGTTTAAGATTCTATTAAATACAATCCTATTTCATCTCATCATAACTGTCCAATATCATTAAAATGAATTCTTATCTATTTTATATAGCTTCTTTATACTCTTTTATTTAAAGTTTATCAAATCCATAATTCTCAGATTCTAAAGCTTATTCAAATAAATTATATTCAGGGTTTTTTAAATTTGGAAGAGATACATAAATTGGTATCCATGATGATAATTTCCCATGTTAATTCCAAATAAATTCTTCAATTTTTCTGGCTGCTCTACTCTTCCCAGATCCAGCATTACCTGATAATAACATCACATCTTTCATTTCTTTTTCATCCCAAATAAATTCATTCTTTTCTCCATCAAAATTATTTAAAGCATCATTTAGTAATTATGATATTTATTAGCCTTATTATGTTTTTTTAATATCACCACATATTGGATCAAATTCTATTGTTTTTACTGATACATAAATAGAATCAATTTCAAACATCTTGGATTATTATAGAATCTTTTATTTTCTTATTTCCAATAATTCATCATAATTCTTACCTCTCAACTTTCTTATATCATTCCCTATCTAATTTAAATAGTTTTATAAATTTTCCATTTAATTCTTGATTGATTTTACATCTTTTTATATGTCTTTTAGAAACAATAAACTCATTTCCATCTTTTAAGACATTTCAGACAAATTGTCGACATATTAATCGAGTTCCTCATACACTATTTCTAATTTCTTTTAAAGCTATTCTCTTATTGTTAAATTTCCTTCTAATTTAATTTCCTATTACAAATTTTCAAGATTATTTATTCTTGATTTCATCTCTTACTTTATTTAATCAGCTGAAGATTGTAAATTTGAGGAGAATAATTATTTTTACATTTCAATTAATTCTTTATTTGTTAATAAACTTCTTACTCTTTGATCTTTTTCAAATATCCATAAATATTAAAGAAATTTGGATGAAAATTAAGTAATACAATCCTCTTAAACACTTTATTAAAATCGAATTAATTTAAATACTAAAAACTCTTTCACTTTATAGGGAGTTTTTAAATCTAAAATTTCAAATATAGATGATGATTTTATTTCTGTTTGTTGTTATTCTAAATCCTTTAATATAGTTAAATAAATCTTATCTGCAGTTTAAGATTTACAATTCTCATGCTAAGATTAAATATCTGAGAGAGCAATAAATTTTTCCAAAGTAAATGAAATCTCTTCCTCCTAATCTTCCAAATCCTTATCATTTCTACTAACACCCTCAAGTTTTGCTGGAAAATCTTCTTCATTAAAATTTAATAGCATTTTATTACACTTTACTTTTAACTTTGCTATCTAAGTTTTTAAATCTATATTTTTTCTTTTTAATTTAAAAGTATGTCTAATCCTAGTGATATTATTGATTTGTAAGATTTTAATCGTATATAAGCACCTTAAATAATTTCTATATTAAAATTAATCTTTTCTTAATACATATCAAAATAATCAGTAAATATATTATTAGTTTAATTAAGAAATGTCTATTAAAATACTGTTTTACCTAAATCTAATTTCTTCTTATATTCTGACTCATTGGAATTAATAAAATTATCATACATTTTAATTAATTTGGTTAGGCATTTTTTTTGCCAGATTAATTCAAAACTTTTAAAAAGTAAAATTATGCTTTTGATAGTAAATTTAAAGCTGATTAGTATATTTCAATTGTTTCATTTTTAATTTATTAATCTTCTTTCTATATTTTCAGATAATCATACTTTATCATTTTAAGAATCTCTTTAATTTTAATTTCAAAATTTAATGCATCTTGTTCTGTTTCTTTTTAATTAATTGAATAATGAATTTTTTCTTTTTCTTATTTCATGAGATCGATCAAATTTAGTATGAAATTGTAATCCAATGACCTGATTTTCTAATGATTGTATCTATTCTAACTTAAATAGCTCCTTCAAAATTTATTATCAATATTATTAGGCTTATAATAATTATTTTAATGTCTTTGCAACTATTATTTCTCTTTTACAATCTTTCAAATTATTTTTAACATCTGATATAGTTTCAAATTTCTATTCATTTACAACTTTAAACTTCTTAAATATTTATAAAAATAAATTTCTTGTTAATCCTACTAATTTTAAAATCCAATTTAAAGAACAAGATGAGATCAAAAAATCAAACAAATGCTATTTTTTAAATGAAATCATGTTGCTATTTAAGTTCTTTTCTGGAATGGAATTGATAAACTTATTTGTAAAATTTCTTAAATTCTTTATAAATTAATCAAATTAAGTTTCAAAACCTTTAAATAAATCATTCAAATTTTAGATCTTAAATTGTTAGCAAATCATATTTAGATTTTCCTTCTCTATTTATTATAAGTTTAAATTAGTTATAGAATTTAACTAACATATTCAATAGCATTTAAGTATTCTTTAAAAAATGACATTTAAAAATTTTCAATTTATTATTTGAATTTGTCCTAAATTTCCTTCAGAATCTAATTCAATTGTAATTTTTGTTCATCATTTATAAAATCAAAGTAAGGAATAAGTAAATTTAATTTGTATTATTCAAAAAACATGAATTCCTAAATGATTCTAATGTGATAATTTGCTTTTTTTTATGAATTAATAAACTATTTTATAAGAACTTATAATTCATCTTGGTATAATTTCTTTGAAAGTTCTGTTTTTTAAGTCTATAAAAATTCATCAGTTAATAATTCTTAAATTTATAATTAATTAGCACATATTTCATCTTTTGACTATTTCAAATAATCGTATGATTTTTCTAAAATAGATAATTCATTATTAGCTAATAGTATTTCATAATCTCTCTGTAAAATTTATTAATTTTTTTAAAATGAGAAATTTCTTTAGAAATCCCATATTAAAATTTTATGCAAACTCCCCAGTTTAAAGACATTATGAAAATAATTCAAATTTTCTTTTCCCTTGTGCTTCTAACAAATTTACTATTTCCTAATCAAAACTTCTTTATTATTTTAAAATAAAACTATTTAGGCTTCATTTGGATTATAAGAAACACAATGAATTAATCCTGCTTCAGTTAATTTATTCCATTTTTAATATTATTCTATCGGAGTTGTGTTTATTGCTTTTTTCTGAATAATTGGTCTGTAAGCTAAAATATCAATAAACATCATAATCCAACATGAATGTAGAATCCAATTATCTGATACATATATATTCTTAAAATGTTTCTTTTAATTGCTTAATTTATTTATAAACTGAATATTTAGATTTTAATTGCTTTATCATTGACCATTTAATTGTTTAAAATAAATAAAAGGTTGCATAAACTTCGAAAAGATACAATATTTTATCTTTAAATGTAAGTAGCAAAAATTTTGCTCCATTCATTAAACTTGGTATCAAATCATCAGCTACCTACATTGGAACAATAGATTAACCAATATTTTTTCAACATCAATCAGTAATTCTTTGCCTTCTTATGAATTAGTGTTAGCGAAATTAACATTATTTTGATTGATTTAATTCAAATTCGATTCCGCATTTACAAACATTGGCTTTTTCAATTTCTAATTAAGTTTTAAATTCTTCAAGGTCATTTAAATATTCTTATTATTTTTGCACTTCCAAATTTCTATCATCATTTAAAATTGAACTTTTAAATCCACATTTATCATTTTTTAGTTAAAATGAATAGATTATAAATTTATAGCACGTGATAACATAAAAACCAATTAGTCCTTAAATAAATTGGAAGAATTGTTAATAATTTTTCAAAATTGTTTAGCACTTAATTATAAATTATTGTTGTTAATTTATTAGAAACATTAGAAACACAACAAGTATTCAAATGTTCCCTATTATAAATAATCCATTAAAATGCCATTATAAGTTCAACCTTTTATCCCTAATCCAATATTAAAGAGACATATATATTAATATTTGCAATATCTTTTTCGCGCTCCAAGAGGAATTTTCAACTGTTACATAATATCCCCAAGAAAAAAATCCAACAACAATTCCAACGAAGATAAATTAGAGTATCAGTCTTGTTAATCTTCGAAGTAAAATCATAGCTGAGTACATTCTATATATAGAAATTATTCAACCTATCTAAACGACTCTCATTCTCGGCTTTAATTCTATCTCCTTATTTTTATTGTTTGAATTAGATCATCCATTGGTTTAGTTATTCTTTTGTTCCTACTAGTTAGGTTTAGTCATCATTCTTGATTGATATATCAAATATCATACTTCTATGTTTCCATATTAAATTAACTTGAAGTCATCTCTATTTTCTTTGTTACACAATATTTCATATACAGAATTTCTCATGGGATAAACCTTTTTCTATATTTCAGAGGCCTAATTTTAGTCTGTTTTATTCATATTTTTGAAATTTTTTTAATTTAAAATTGAAAAAGAAGAACCCAATATGTTGATTAAATAATGATAATTAACAAAGTTCTGTTTTTATTAAACTATTTAATTACGTAATAAATAAATTAATTGAATTTATTAAGTAATATTCCCTATTTATTATTTTTAATATTTTATAGTCTTTCAATTTCACTCTTAAATTTGAATTTTTTTGTTGAAATATCAATTAAGTTTCATTTATTGAATTTGAATCTAAAGTTTTCAATTTTATATATATTGAAATATTTGTAAAAATCATGTAAGCTCAAAAAAAATTTAATTAATTATCATTCTTATCAAAATAAATTTTAA